TTTGATCTCCAGTACTAGGGGGAAAAAAAAAGACCCAGCTTATTAGTTTAATGTTTTCAAGATAGTGTTCCATTGTTTTCTGGCTTCCATTCTTGCTGTTGAAGACATCTGTTGATATACTGATTCTTTGTAGGTAATACAATTTTTTTTAAAACTTTTTAAACTCTTCTTTTGAATTTGTGGATCTAAAGATTCATGTGATATCTAGATTTTATTTTACTTTTCATTTCCAGCTTGGGCTTAAGAGGGATATCTGGATATATTAATTTTTATTTATTTATTTATTTATTTATTTATTTATTTATTTATTTTTGGCAGTACTGGGGATTGAACTCAGGACCCTGTGCTTGCCAGGCAAGCGCTTATTCTAATGAGCTATCTTGCCAGCTACAACTCTCTTCTGTTGAGGGTTTTTCTCCTTTCCTAACATTCTTGTTCTTCTGCCTCTTTCTCAAGTACCTCACAAAAATTTCATTGCAAAAAAACAACAACAACAATTTCGTTGCTGTTGCCACAAAAATACTGTTCATGATTTTGTTTACACTTTCAGGTTCTTACATTAGGGATACAATATGATGCTTACACATGTGCGGGTCTGATTTATTTCACTTTAATAAGTATGGTCTCTAGTTGCATCCATTTATCTATGAAAGCCTTGAGTTTATCTTTCTTTATAGCTGAGTAATACTCCATTGTATGAAAATACCACATCTTTTTATCCATTCCTCAATACTGTGAAAGGGAAAGAAACTTCCCAAATGAAAGAGCAACTGGAACAAGAGAGGAAGGAGAAAAGAAAGAAGGGAAAAAAATACATATATATATACACACACAGGATAGCTGGGATAATTGTACTGCTAATTTCTACTGGTCTACTGAAAGGAATAGTTAATGCTTAAAATTTTTGGATCAATTTTGCATGCTTATATCTAGTAATCTGAACAAAATTTTTGAATCAATTTTGCATGTTTATATCTGGTAACCTGAACAGCTAATTTGAAGACAACAACATGTAATATATACACACACAATATTTAAATTGCAATGGAATACCCATCTCTGACAAGCTATAAGGGAATACAAATGAAGGACCATTTTGTATCTGTATATACAAAATAGGATAGATATAACAACTACTTTCTCTTAATTCTGTGAGAAGGAAGATTCATACTAATAGTGTTTGGACAGGAAATCATGTCTGCATCTTGTACTATGAGTAACTACTACAAAGACAACAATATGCAATGTATTAATTATTGTAACTGTCCTACTGACCTGTTTTGAAACTGTCTCATTGTTATTTGTTTCTCAATAAAATAAAAAAGCAAGCATTGTTAAATTCCTATCATCTTGATCAGTGAAATTCTGTACCATATTTAATTTTTTTATTACTTTTTAATTTTTTTTAAAAAAACACTATTAATGGATAACATCAATATGAACAAATCTCATCCCATATTTCAGGCTTTAATCAAGGAAAAGAAAGCCCCTGCATATTTTGAAATAAATTTAGAGCACGTGTGATAAAAATCAATGGCTATCATTTTTTCTTATACCCCCTTGAGGAAAGACTGACACTCTGGAGAATATCAGGCACAATTTGGGGGCAGATCCAAATTTAAAATGCACATGGCTTATGGTGTAGCTAGCAGACACATGGATTTAACCTATGGATTCAGCCCCAGCAGTTCACAAAGATACAGCCCATGACTGTGAAAGAGAGCACTGATTCTGAGAGCAACTTGCTTCCTTCACTTTTCAACAGAGACAGACACACATAGATATATGCTCCTGTTATTCTTTTTAAAAGATATATAATATTTCACCTCAAGAATATACCATAGTTTTTTATTTACACTAGCACAAATATATACACATATTCTCAGAAGATACAACCTAGTACTAAGATTAAGTCTTTTTTTGTATATTATTTTCAACTTGCTTTATAAAACATAAAAAAAATTAAATTGCATCATAAAAAACTAAGTAGAATCTATTGAGTAAAAATAAATGACAAAGTAAGAAAAAGGGAGCTGAGAGCAGCTTTAGATAAAAATGGAACACGCACCTTTTTTTTTTTTTGGTGGAACCGGGGATTGAACTCAGGACCTTGCGCTTGCCAGGGAAGTGCTTATTCCACTGAGCCATCTCCCTGGCCCCAAAAATTCATCTCTCCTTTTTTTTTCTTTTTGTCTGGTGGAACTGGGGATTGAACTCAGGCTCTTGCGCTTGCCAGGGAAGTGCTTATTCTACTGAGCCATCTCCCCAGCCCCGGAACACGCACCTTTGTCTTCTAAGGTCAACAGTTAAATTTTAGCTCAAGTCAGAAGTGACAAAATGCATTCTAGAGACCTGACCTCAATACAGACATTGCAAACAGTATATTAACATTGTAAAACTGTTGGGGTATACGGCAATCCAGTCAGTAACTCAGGCCAAGCTAACTGTCCATGTCCTTGGTGAAAGGACAGCAAAAAGACCACCTATATCAGCTGTTTCAGGGCGACTGTGTCGACCGCTGATAGCACTAGTGTGAATTCCCTCATACATATGTGAAGGATGAAGGCCACTGCCAGCTCCCATGTTCCTACCTGGTGTCCTAAGATTGTGATAGGACTTGTAGGGCCTCTGGCGGATTTGTATACAGTTACTGTCACTTCTATCTGAGAAAATGGAAAAGGAGCAAAATATGCCAGCACCTACTGCAGCCATTTCTCTTAATTTCATTGGATCTGGATTATTTAAAGTCTTTTCCTCTATAACAACTCTGACAGAAAGGTTTCAAATCCTACTCACTTGAAGTAGATCAGTGTAGCATACTACAGAAAAACTCCATAGCAAATCCTAGGAAAACAATGGAGGCTTGGAAATTTGTCACCTCATGTAAGCACACAATACACATTTATGGAGATGATGTGACCTGCCAAACATCATAGAAACACAACCAAATGTTTTCCGTTCATCAGGGAGCATATTCTGGATGACTTGGCCTTAAGAAAGGCCCTTTGGTCAGATTCAAAACTGTCAGTTAATTAAGGGGTGAGGGAGAGATGCCTCAGTAGGTGAGGAGAAAAGCACCTGAAGCATATAAAGAATGAACATTCTTGAAATCCTCGTGGCCTTCTTCATGGAAGTGCACACAGATTTAAAGTTTTAATGCTTCTTGAGTGGCCTAGTAGAGTGCCATGGATATTGAGAGGAAGGGGAGGTGGAGGAGGGATCAGAGCATGTGGTGGATGGCTGCTGAGACCCAGGGGAAGGAGGAGTTTCCCGGCCTGCAGCTCCCTGCTGGAATCCATCCAGTCATCCAGATCAGGCCCAGCTTCCAGAGTAGTAATGCCAACCTCCGCAACCTGCCTTTGCAACATCGTGGCTCTGAAAATGAGGCCTTATCTCTGCATATTCAATTCATATTTTCTGAGAACCCACACAATTCATCATACTGAACCAGATAGTTCACTGCTCATGGGAAAGTCTACAGTCTCTTCCCTCAAGGCACTCTTGTAAGTTTGATTAAAGATGACTCACAGTCTGGACTCCAAAGCTGCTCACCCACAAAGCAGTGAAAGAAACCACTTATGAAAGTCCAGAAACACCCGCAGGGTCACACTGCTGCCACTAGCTGGCTGATGGAGCTCTGCCATCCACCTGGCTGGTTGGGCTTTTGCCATCCTTGGGATCTTCTCTGTCTGCACCAAGCTCCTGGCCCGGCCTGGCTTGCTGATCAATTGCCTCATTTCTGGCATCCTACCTTTGTCTGCACTAATGTCCCAGGCCCTGGACTCACTTCTGTTGTCATGTGGATCCTGCTCACTTCCCCTCCCTGTTCTGTCTCATCTCTCTGCCCTGGTGAAGATTAGGAGCACCCTGTGCTCTGCTCCCATCCCTACCTTCACTTTCCTGCCTGTTGGCCCATATCACAGAGGTGCAGACCTGGCTTCTCCCTTACTTAGCCCCTTGCAGCTGATATTGTTTTCTTGGTGGGGATTTCAACATCCTCCTCAAATGGTGCTCTTGCTCTCCAGGGTTCCTTCTGAATCCCATGGACTTTTCAAGGCAGCGTCTTATCAGTGCTGTTTTTCTGTGCTAGAGACTGGGTGTTTGCAACCTTAGATTATAGTTCAGTGATAGCAAATCTTTTATCATTGAGCCTTCAATGATAACAAAGAGGTGTGACACACATTCTATAGGTTTGCTGCCACTGTTATAGTTCCTATGTCTTTGTATCCTCCCCCTGGGACTGATCTCAGTCTTGACTTCTATCTACACTTATGTTCTTAATCCATAGTAAATGGAGGCCTCACAACCATGGGTGTTGAATTGTCAACATCCACTTAAACATGCCTCCCCCAGAGTTCCTCCCAGTTACAAGAACCTCAGAGGAAGAACCCCACTCATCTGGAGGAGCTTCAGAAAGTCACTAAATAGTGAATCAATCATCAACAGTTGCTTCACTTGACTTAATGACCCTTTGAGTAAGGTAATCTCCCTGCTCCCCCACCTGGGTCACAAGGTAACTATGAAAGCAAATGATTCAGGCAAAGTGCTCTGGGAAGCACCAAGTTGGACAAATATACAGAAGGAACCATCACCTTGGTTAAACAGATGCAGGGCCCCATATTGGATACCTTTATCTGGGCCAGCAAAGACTTAAGAACACAGTGTTCTACCTCACTAGGTCTGAGCTGTTTTGTCTCTGACACCCTAAGGTCACCTCTGTCCCTGGCAGCCCACTATATTGTGATCATCTGCTCCACATGGAGACAGAGTCTAATCTCTGTGTCACTACAGCGCCTGACACCCCAAAGGAGTTTTACAAGTGACAAATGAATGCATATGTAAATGAACAAAGAAACAAATAAAACAAGGAACAAAACATTGATTGAGAAGCAGACAGGAACACCTGATATAAAATAGTAATCAGAAAGACTTTGCCATGTGTTCTTTACCCAGAGTGCAGACACTCTAGGGTACCCTTCAGCCCTCTCCCTGGGTCTCACCGGTAGGGCTCCATGGTCCGAATGCCATAGAACAGCGCCTCCTCCAGGAGGCCAAGGTTGATGCAGGCATCCATGGCACAGTCAAGCACCTTCAGCTGGTAGATGTTGATATCAGGAAGCCGTTCAGAGTTGCTGCTTATGATAGACTGGCACATGGCCAGAACCTGCTCCCACTCTGTTATTAACCTTAGTTAAGGATTCATTGTTTTCATCAGAGAAAAACATAAGTAAAATAAGATTCTTAAAAACGCTGATGAGCTCCCAGGCACAGGAGGGGAGGATGCATCCATTATTTTGCACAGATGAGCCACCTGAAAACACACTTGAGAAACAAAAACATGTAAGTGGCATCTCAGTGAAGTAAATTCTGTTTACACTAACAAACCGTCTTCTAACCAAGCTTGTGCTTTGGGAGATTAAATTTTTCCAAAGATACACTCTTTCTTCACTCTTGTACGCATTTTCTCTTTAAACCTAGTCATAAAGTGAATGAAGCGGTTCACTGAACTGCGTTGAAAATTTAGTTCCATTTCAAGTTATTTACTCTGTTGGCTTATGTTTAAAAACTGATCTGAAATTAAAGAAGCTTTAGTGAGATTCCTTTTGCAGAAGGTAGAGCATGTTTGCTTCTAGGTCACTTGAAACTTGGGCATACATGAAACTGAAAGCACACACATCCCATAGGCACTCACTAGGGGCAGCAATTTGAAGAAACTTGTTTCTGCTGGTTGTATATTTAACTTTTCAAATGATAAAGCAAAAGTGATCCAAATCTATACTTGACCAAATAAAAGTACCCTTATTTCACGCCCTTAAAGAAAATATTAAGAACAATATTTGCATATAAATTGCAAGCCAGGAGAAATGATACTTTAAAAAACATGAGAAGATCCAATGTTGCCTTCTTAGTGCTATGGACTTCCTCATTAACCATGAATCAATAATCAATCTCACAGAGCCTTTTTGTGACCTCACTTTATCTTTCTTTTTTAAGAGACAAGAGTTTTGTGATATTGGCCAGGTTGGTCTCCAAATCGTGGATTCAAATAATCATCTTTCCTCAGCCTTCAGAGTAGCTGGGATGACAGGAGAGTGTCACTGTGTCTGACTTGTAACCTTACTTTTTAGACTTCTTATGGTGGCAGGCAGAGGACTGAGAACCTGGTATGCTGAACGTGCCTATGTCACGGGGACAGCTGAGGGCTAAGATGCAGGACTTCAGGATCTCAGTTTTTGCCACACTGCTCCACATTGCACTTGGAGCCAGAAGGATGCTGGGTTGGGGCTGCCCACCCCACTCCAAGGAGCTTTATATTCATCTGCTTTCATATATTGGAATCTCAAGTGGGGGAAAGAGTCTGAAGATTCCAGATGCAGCAGAAATAGCCTTTGGTTGCAGATAAAACTGGATTCAAATCTTAGCTAGTTCTGTCATTAGTCAGATCCAAGGTTCTGAGAAAACAGTGGTTTGAGAAAAGCCAGAAATAAAAATGCCTAATGTCATGGAAACATTTAGTGGCACATACAAAGTACATGGTGCACAGACACCAGGGTCTTCCTCCTTCCTTTTGGTCTTGACCTGGAAGCAAGTGTAGATTTAAGGAAAAGAGGGGAGTGGGCTTGGTGGAAGCCGCATACCACTACCCCTTCACTCCCACATGACTCTATCTCTTCACAGCCCACGGCTACCCACTCCCTCTAACTTGTACCTCTCCACTGCGATCCTAGCATAGTGATTCCTGCCCTGAGCAGATAGATTGCTGTATACAACAATGCTCTCATAGCCCTTTCTCCAGCAAAATCTACCTTTCCCCTCAGAGTACTGCTTTCCAAAATGCTTCGAAAATTAGCAAGCCCAATCAGGATACTTGTGTGAGTAGGGCTAATAACTTCATGAGCCCTCAAGGGAAATATATTTCCCTTTCAGCAGGGACAGAACACGCCACCCGAAAGCATGGCTTTCTTGCTGATACTTCAAGCACCGGAGACCCCTATTGTTTTAGAATGAACCCTGGATATCAGGAGTTCACTCTAGTCCCTGAAAGGGTCCATTTATGGAAAAAAAAAAGGGTTAGTGATTTTCTTTTGCAGTCATCTGACACAGATGCTTACAGTTTACTCAATGTATCCTCCAGAAGCTGGAGGATGTGGTATCTTAGGCAGCCCACTGATTTTTCAACAGATTGCTGGGTTAACCTCTGTGGCTTTTCATTCCAAGATTAGATATCTGACCAACTGTCAGGAGGAATGGTTGTCTCTTCCACAATGCTATATATTTCTGTGGCAAGACTTGCACTTTATTTTAACATTGTGTTGTTTGACCTCTACTTGAGTCTACTCATTTTTATGTATTGCAACTCATTCTAAGAAGGTTTGAGATAATAAGACTTAGAAGTTGAAAGCAGATGAGATGCTCTGCAGCTATGCAGAGGAATACATCTACTATATCCCCACACAAGCCGTGAAGGACTTGGTGCCAATTTCCCTCCACAACATTGGCAGCCATCTCCTGGCACACAAGGCAAAACCTCTCCTGCAAAACACCCAAGTGAGAGAGAGAGAAAAAAGAATAATTTTAACTAAGAGGCTTTCCCCAAAGCTAATGCAGATGTATAGTTGCTCAAAGATTTAGTCCTTGGCATCTGTGTAGTATTCACTACAAGTCACTGTTCTGGGGAGGGGCACAGCTCTGGGCTAAAGCAGGCCTGGGAAGCCCACCTACAGAAGACAGATCCCTGTGGGCAAGAAAGATAACCTTTTTCCTGATTACTTTTGAGTAACTAGAAGAGGATTAGGTGAGAAAAGAAAAGAGAGCAAAGTCAATTCACTTGGAAATTAACCAACTTGTTCAGACTCAAAGACTGTCAGAACAAAAAGCTCTGATCCATATACTCATGTACACTCTTGCTTAAAATCATCCTGGGGCCCCTCCTACCTAAAATCCCTAATCTACACATGGCACTAGGCCTTGCCGTGTCCCATCCTTTAGGACTGACATCTGGCATTCTTCCTGCTGCATGGCATCTTGTGCTGTGTTGTTTGCACAGTTACTCCCTCTGTTGGATTCCCTTTTTCATTGATGGCCTCCTAATGAACACCTACTAATCCTCCCAGGCACAAATCAGCTATCACTTCTTCTCTGGAACCTCCTTTAATCTCCAAGAACTGAATGCTATTATCTTCGATGCTCCTAGAAATAAATATATATTTTGTCCATAATAGGTATTGTATTAGCTCTGCATCGCTATAATGAAATACCTGACACAGGAAATTTAAGAACTAAGGGAGGCATATTTTAGCCTTTGGTTCTGTAGGGTCAAGTCCAAAACTGCTCTGTTATCAAGGAGCTGATGGCAATGGCAGGAACACATGTCTGCATGAGCGCTCACACCTCAAGGCAGGAAGCAAAGAGACAATGAAAGAGGAGGATCACATAGTTTCCTTCTAGGTTATACTCCCCAGTGACCTAAGGACTTATGAGTCCCTACCTCTTAAAAGTCCAGAGTACCTCTTACTGCTGTCACACTAGAGACCAAGCTTTTACAAAAGGATCTTTAGATGCTACTTACCAAAAAAATAGCATGTGTTCATGTACAGTTTACTACTCCGCTCTGTAGGAAGAGTTGTGAAATGGGAGGCTGTGTCTTCTGATTTTTGCATGGGTAACAGGGTGGATTATGACCAACAAGGTACCTAGCAGTCAGTTATTGGTAAAACTTTGTACAGTTGAGACTGAACTATCACTGGATCATTCACAGACCCTCAATCTGTCACATGGGATCACAGAGAACAAGTTTCATGCTCTCAGTGTAATGGCCCTGTAAGCCCAGGAACATGGACCTCTTGCTTGCAGAACTTGCTGTTTCCCTGCTATTTTCCATCTCACCTACACATGGGCTCTCAAATTTCTCCTAAGCTCTGGTTCCTCTCCTGAAAACTTCTTTCAGTTTTGCTACATCCTTCTTAAGTGTGTCCTACCCCAAACTAAATGTAAGATTTCAGTTATGACCAGATCAATACTATCTTTTTTCTTAGTTTATATTCTGTATTACTCAGAATACATCCTAGGATCATAGTCATCATTTGGAGGATATATCACAGTCTTATACTTTATTAAATTTCGCTGTTTATTAAAGTTCTAAAATTCTTTCATATATTCTGTTGCTTAGCTTTCTGCATATTTATATGATTGGATGTTTGGACCCAAATAGTAGAATTTACATAAACTTTTATCAAATTTCATATCTTGAAGCTCAGACACAAAACTTTAAGGAATCTTTTGAACTCTGCTTCTATCATCCCAAATCTTCTATGCTTCCCATCTGCACATCTTCAGACATCTGATAAACCTATGTTCCATTTCGTTACTCAAGGTGTTACAGTTTAGAACTAAAATGTCCCTCAAAGTTTCTGCACTGCAGATAGTAATTTGTAATAGTAGTTTCATGCTTGGAGTGCCTGTCATTTTGGTCTTCTGAATATGGGCTGCTTGTCATGACATGCCAGTTGCTGCTATGATGTCTCTTGGGTAGGTGGTTGTTCAAGAAGAAGGGGGTAGTGAATGAAAGCAAGAGACAGGAAAAGGAATAATGTGGGACTGTCTTGCTTCAAGATTGTATATGGTGAGATTTTTGGACTTATGTGTAAACATAAGACGTATATAATCCTTTATGCCTATTTTTAAAATATATTCTAATTTTTAAATGTTTTTTTATCATATTCTGTAGGGACTTAAAGTTCAACATATCAATACTTGATGAAAAGTACCTGTTCCATATTATGCCTAAGATGTTTGATATGCAGACAGATAGTGAGGTTAAGCTTAACAGCCTAAGTTGTATGGTAATAACAATAAGCTTGTCTTCTGGATGGTTAACAACCTAAGTTTGCAGACCAAAATTAGAGAGAAAGGAGGACTGCAAGGAAAGCCAACATTTTGGCCCTAACTTTCTAAGGTCAGTTAAGACTCAGGACATATGAGAACTTGTACTGTAATGTCATGTAACTCAGCAGTGTCCCAAATTTTCTGATCAAGGAGATTATGGGGCCAAAGAGGAAAGTGATCAATGATGTAGAGTGTGCCTAAGGAGAGTCACATGGAGAGAAAACATTCTCTCAGGCTTTCACAGAGAGCACATTGGCCAAGCAATGGCCGTGATTTATCCACATGGCTGACACTGACAAAGGTTCTACAATCTGAGGTGCAGGATCTCAGGATAAATCCTGAGGGGATTTCACTGACCTTATTCAGACCCAAAAGCTACAACTCTTGTTGCATAGGTCCTGCTTTACCTTGGTCTTGGCCATCCAGCAGAAAAGTATAAAAACAAAATATAAGAAGTAAAGCCATGCTGTTATGTTGAGCTGTAGGGGACTCACGTCAACAATTTCTGACATTGCCAGTCAAGCGGAAGACCCAATACTATTATGGGCTACTGGACTCTTTTAGAATATTTTGCTGAGTTTACACACCGATAATATTCAAATAACGGAACTTAACAAAAAAAGGGTATACAGATGTGTGTCCATTTTGTATGTGTGTATTCAAAGTGGTTTGGATAGATATATAGTTACATTCTCTTAACGAATAGAATGATTCTTGTACAGCAATTAACCACTAGGAAGAATGTATGCAGTGTGTTAATTATTGAAACTGTCCTACCGATTTTTTTTGGCAACTGTCTCATTGCTATTTATCAATAAAATTAGGGGGAAAAAAAGGAAAAAGAAGGCTAAAGTCTAGGAAGCCATTCACATTTAAATGATGAAAAAAAAAAGTTTCAGAGATGGTTATTTGATCATGTGTGTGTGTGTGAATTCACTCATGAGTTTGCAGAAGAATTTGCTGTTCAGAGATGGAACTGCTGGGAGGTGGGTTGCTGGGCACAGGACCTATGTTCTCATTCCCAGATCCTGACTTCTCCTTTCCTGGCCATAATGATAGGAGCAGTTTTCCTCCACCAGGTCCTTCCACATGGCAATTCCTGCCTTGCACCTGGCCAAACACAGACTAAATCTACTCAAACTGTGAGCCAAGATAAACCTCTCCTCCTTCAAATTGTGGGTGTCAGGTATTCTGTTCTGAAGCTGGGGAAGCTGACATGATGTTGAATTAAAATTGATATTGGAACAAAGAAGACCAGAGTAACAGTGATCTAATCAGCATCATTCTTTCAGTACAACCATCTGACAGTTTAGTTAGACACCTGGTTCTGTTTGTATCTACTATAAATTTTTTACTTCTTCCTGTATATCCCTTTAGAGACTCTGATATAAATTTTACTTAAAAAAACACATGACTTTACGGATATATTTTCTTCTAGTGAATCTATATAGCATTCTGGTGATCACAGCTTTCTTTTCTATTTCTCAGTCAACAATTGCAGATTTTTTAGTAAGACTACTTAAAAAAAAGTCAATGAACTATAATTTCTTAATTTCTGAAATTGTATAATTCACCTTTAGAATTAGAAATATCTATCAAGCTACCTTTTCTGTCCTTTATAATGCTTTTAAAAACATTATTTGTTGTGTGGAAACCTGTTTTGCAAATTTTCTTTTTTCCTAATAATAATAAAGCAAAAACATCAGAGGACCTTTTTATAAACTTTTTTCACTCTTATCATTCTTTCCTGTGGTTTTCCTTTGTTACATTTTTGCCCAAGTAAAATTCTTCATTAGAAGTGATCTCCCCCTTAACCTCTACCTATCTAATCTTGTCCCTGATTTGGGGCACCTTTCATATAATGAAACAACATTGGCATTTCCCAGATGACTTCCATCATGTGCTCTCTTCATTTTCTCTGAACTTTGACCTACTACTCTCAAGAAAATTTATTATGCAGCAACTCCCAATTTATTATGCAGCAACTCCTGCTGCTGGTGTTGTAGTCATGCCTGATTCACTCTGAAGCTTCTAGGTGTGAGAGTTAATGATATTAAATTATAAAGATTCTAAACTCTTCTTCCCCAGAGAAGAAAGTGGTTATAAGAGTTAGGGAATCATATATATATATATATATATATATATATATATAATCTACTGCTACCTTTCCTACTCTTACTGGCCGTACTATCTAAAGGTGGTAAGGTATTCATGCTGATTTACTACAACCTTCCCCAGCCATTACTCAAATCCTTGGCTGGGCCCAGAGGTGTAGTTATGGCTATGGGACAGAATAAACCTTACAGAGAAATCAAATCTCACCTTTGGCTTCATTAACATCAAGCTTCAAACAATAAAGAAATAATCCCAAGAGTCCAACTCAATTTACAAGATGAAAGGATACTCCAGTTTGTCTTCAGTTCTTCAATTTTTTTCAGGGATTCTTGCACCCCTTTCCATACTTGCTCATCACCAGTTAGCATATCAGCATCCTGTTGAGGCCAAAATCAAAGGAAAGGAGGACAGACAACCTAATTAAAAACGGGCCAAAGGATTCATGTAGACATTCCACAAAAAAAGATATAAAAATAAGCACATGAAAAAATGCTTGACATTATAATAATCAGAAAAACACAAATCAAAACCACATTGAGGTAGAACTTCATATCCACTACATAGCTGTAATAAAAGACAGATAACAGGAAATATCTATGAGGATACAGAGAAACTGAAATGCTCAAATACTTCTGGTAGCAATGCAAAATTATATGTCCCTGGAAGGCAATCTTTTTAGTTCCTCAAAACAGAAAATATAGAGTTACCATGTTACCAATTAAAGTTACCATATTGACAATTCCACTCCTCCATACATAATCAAAGTAAGTGAAAACATGTTAAAAAATAATTATACACAAATACTCATAGTTCATTACAGCCAAAAGGTAGAAACACCTCAAATGTCCATCAACTAATGAATGGATAAATAAAATATTCATGCAGTGGAATATTATTCAATAATAAAATAAGTATCAAAAATATTACACTAAATGAAGAAGCCAATTTTAAAAAGACCACATGTTGTATGATTCCATTTCTATGAAATGTCTGTAAAAGGCAAATCTATGGAGACAGAAAGTAGATTAGTGGGTGCCTAAGATTAGGGTGAAGAGAGAGAATGGGCATGTGATTGCTAATGGGTAAAGATGCCCTCTTGGGATGATAACGCTCTAAACTGGCCTTCAGGCTGGCGCACTACCCTGTAAAGGGTCTTAAAAACACTATACTGTTCACTGTATTGACTGAACTCTGCCACACATGAATGATATATCAACACACCTATTCTTTTTAAAAGTAAGGAGGTTTCATAATGTCCATAATTATTTGTCAGGAGATCTTCAGATTAACATTTTAATAAAATATGGTATTATTCACCAAGCAAAGATAAAGGAAGATCGGTAAAACTGTATCATATGAATCGATTTTGATTTCTGCAACAACTAAAGACAACTCAAACATAAAACATAATACTTTAACAAAGGAAATCAAAATACACTTATGCGCTTTCTCCTGCTCTCCCATTTAGTAAGCAGGTCCTCTCTTCCCTGTTTGCTGCTATATCCACAACATCTAGCACTGTGCTAGATGGCAGGTGTTAAGTCAATGCCTGCTGAATGAATGAAAGCCACCAGCACAGCACTGGTGGCTTTACCTAAATTGTTCCACTCTGACTCCATATAGCTCTCTCATGTATGTATGATCATCCCTGTGCAGTAACACAGGCAGTAGTAAGTACAGTCCGTTGAGACAGGCCAAAAGAGCACACAGTGTTTAGAATATCGAAAAACAGAAATAAAACCAACAGAAGCAAAATCTGACTTTGACCTCCATGCAACAATTCTAAGCAGTGTAGAGGCAAAATATTCTTCTCTTCTAGGTCAGTGGTCAACTGCCACTCCCCTTTCTGATCTAGTACTAAACTCTGAAGTTAAAACTAGACTCAGAGATATTAAATGACTTGCCCACAAATCAGAAGTGTTTAGCCAAAGCTTAAACTAGGTTTTCTAAAAGTCTGTTCTTGTCATACACTATTGAACATCTCATAAACACTGTTATGACCACCTTAGCATGTTCAGCATGTCTAGTTTTGTACATCTGTGCTGTGCTGTCCGACATGGTAGGCACTAACTACATGTTGCAATTTATATTAAAATTAAATAAAATTAAAATGCAATTTATAAGACCACCCGGCTGCACTAGCCACGCTTCAAGAGTTCATAGCTATATGTGGCTATGGATACTACATGGGCCAGCACAGATGTGGTATTGTATTGCCTCTGCAGAAAGTTCTATTGGACAATACTGCTTTATAGAAACATATCAAAGGATAGGAAACATTCAACAGAAAATATTTAATAGACATGTGACTCTACAGGTGTCAGGAAAGAGAATTATCCTAGGAGTTAAATCATAGCCAGCATGGGGGAGATGGTAAAGGTGAGGGAGCACAGGTCTTTACATACTATTTGCAGCTCCCTGGAGATTCCTTGTGTATCTCTATGAGAAAAGAGTGAATTTTCAAGAACTACTGCCAGAAAAAGCCCCTGTGACTGGTGGGAAGACACAGGTTACTCAGGTGCGCCAGGAGAGGAAAGAAATGAAGTCACTGAGATCAGAAGAAAAGGCCCAAGAATAGGTGAGACAGTGAGTGTGCATATAAGATGTATGAGGCTGTGCGTGTATTGGAGAGCCTGGGAACCAAGGGTTGCTATGTATGTACTATGCACATGTGTAGTAAAGTGGTTTTGAAGTAGACATCATAAGTGCAGCCTACTTCTTGTAGGAAATTTTAAAACTAACTTCCTGTGCATAGGAAGGGGAGGACAATCAATGCCTCTCAGAAAGCAGACAGCAGTCTCATGCTAAAGTTCTGTTCTAAGTCCCTATTCATCCTAAACTTTCAGTTCAATCATATCATTCTCCTGCCTCAACAGTAACAGTCACTTATGATTTAATGTTCTCAGTTATATTTTATTACAGAAAGTTCAAACCTCAGGCTCTAAGAAAAGCATCTTAGTCTGTATGTTAGCAGATAGTGGATGTTGCCCACACACAAAGGCACCCACATCCTGATTCCCAGAACCTGTGAATATGTTAGGTTATACAGCAAAGGAGAATTAAGTTGCAGGCAGAATTAAGTTGCTAATCAACTGACCTTAAAATAAGGAACAATCCTGCACTATATATCAGCCTTTGAAAGTACAATGGGCGTGGGGGAGATAGCTCAGCAGCATAAGTGCTTGCTTTACAAGCATAATGCTCTGAGTTCGATTACTCAGCACCAATAGATAGATAGGTAGATAGATAGATAGATAGATACATAGATACATAGATAGATACATAGATAGATAAATGTAGAATAGGAGGCAGGCATGGTAGCATACTCCTGTAATCCCAATACTCTAGGAGGCTGAGGCAGGAAAATTGCAAGTTGAAGCCTGAGTGTTGAGTGAATTAGTGAGTGAAGCCCTGTTTCAAAACAAAAATGCTGGGGCTATACCTCAGTAAGAAAGCACTAGGTTCAATCCCCAGCTATCATAATGAGAGAGATGGAGATCAGAATGATGTGCTATGAGGACTCAGCCAGCCATGGTAGACTGTGAAGAAGGAGGGAGAAACAAAGATATATGGGAAGCCTCCAAAAAGTGAAAATGACAAGTTAAGATTCTCTCTGGGAGCTGTCAGAAAAGAGAACAGTCCTGTTGATGCCCTGATTCTAAACCAGCAAGACTTGTATCAGGCTTTTGACCCATATACATATAATATACATTTGTATTTCTTTCTTTCTTTCTTTCTTTCTTTCTTTCTTTCTTTCTTT